GTGTACAGTACTTATCAATTTTAGTGGAGTAAAAACAGAGATTTATAACTTAAATATAATGTAGACACTAATTTCCAGCCTATATTGTTTACATTTTTTAGAGTCTCTTGTTGTAGGTTTGAAATATAACCTTTGTATTTAGATTCAACTTGTTTCTGTACTGTTTTTGATGATCCAAGTTCCCCTTTTTAAATTAACAATTTTTAATCATCTTGTTATTACTATTATTATAAATTATAGCTCTATGAAAAGCCCTTTATCCAAGTTAAACAATTATTGTAAGTGTTACAAAACTATAAGCATTATTTTTTCAATTTAGTTGTTTTTTAGGAATATAGTGTATATTATTTTAGTGTTATCATTTGACCAAAATGTTGGCCATTGCAGTAAGTAATTAAACAAATGAGCATCATTTATAGTTTTTTTAAAAACTTGGCTAAAATTAATGAAGATAACTTACGATTGAGTTGACTGGTATAGATATTCCTAACAATATAGATATTAGTGGAGCCACATCAGCCTGTCCAACATCTGTTCGACGAAAGATTGAGAGCTTCCAGGCTACCAAGAAGCATTTAAAAAAGTTTTTTTTTTAGAAACATAAAAGCTGAGACAACAAATTAAAAGATCACTATTTTACACTTAGATTTTTATGTTCAGGTTACAGCATTGTTCTGTATATCATTTAGCTATTTATAAAGTTAATAATATTTTAATTTATAGTTTACTTAACACAGGATCTCTCCCTCAACCAGAGGTATACAGTGGCAGGGGTCAAGTGTGAAAAATCCAGGATTTTTCTGATTTTGGCAAAACTTATTCAAGATTTAGCATATGATATGACAATTACAATTTAGTTTCCAAATCAGACAAAACTTAACCAAGTTATGACTGGCCACATCATTGGCAGAATTGCATAGTTAATTACAGTACTTGTTTTGTAACTCATGGATCTGCTACATGAGCCTTTTTCTTTGCCCATTGCTGTACCTATTTTTCAGACCAAAGCCCAACAGATCTTTAGCAGGTGGCTCAAAGTTATACTAACCCTGACTGGAACTTTGCTGTTGTTCAGCATGTCATCATCAATCATTATTTCTTTGATTACCTGCAATTGTAAGATTCTGAGATATTTGAATTGCAACCTGTGCAGCCCCTGTGGATGTGATCACAATGGACTTTTTTGGCAGCCTCCATTTTAGGCAAATCCATCTATCAAGCCTAAAGATGCTGTGGCTACACTCAACAATAGGTTTGCCACTGACAAGGTAAGTAGTGATAGTAGTAGCAGCCTTCCACCTGATCAAAAGTTCAAGAAAAGGGTCTCCAACCTCACACAAACAAATGAAAGGCTGCATCATTTTGACTTGAGAGTAAAAAAAAAGAGAAATGATAATAATCAAGTAGTGTGTGTGACCATTGCTGGTAAAGTAATGCAGCCACTTTAAAACTGTCTTTTTGACTGCTCATAACTCCTGACTAAAATACATCATCATCAGATGGATTGTGCTAGTTGGATACAGCAGATTCTGAAATTTCCAACAGTGTGTGCAATACCCCTAAGAAACAATAACAAGAATTTCTTGTTCCTTGTCTTGCGACCCAAAAACACTACTTTCATTGTGATTAAAGGAGAGATCCTGTGTTCATTTCTAAGTGAGTTTTCATTACATTGTAATGCTTTATATGATCTAAAAATCTTATCAACAGGTAACATTAATAAAACAAAAAATATCATTTGCTAAATTTTAAAATTCCTCTGAAGAGAACTGCATACAACAAGTACCTAAAAACTATCACAAATATTTGTTTTTTCTTTATTACTTTTCACTCTGGCTTTTAACTTAATTAATCCAGCAGTGTTTTTACACAGTAACAGTAACTGTTGAATAAGACATCAAACAAAGAATTATTTATGTTTTTAGAAACCATACCTTCAGAAAGGCCATCTCGGTACAGATCTCTTCCTGCACCGATGGGTCCTCTTACACCAGCTCCCCAGGCAACTATGGGAGTCAGAGTTTCATGTGGATGACCCATCCCATGAGAACCTGGACCAAAAATACAAATAAATCTACTACAGTAGTAGACTTTAGGATTTTATGTTTACAGTGGATTAAATGGTTTTGATCAGTTTTAACACAATTCTATTTCTTGTACGACATTTTATTAATTTTTACTTAGCAGAGCAAAAAAAATAATTCTAAAATAATAATTATATAAAACAAAATGGATGCTATATATTAACATACTTTTATCAAAAATACAAAATATTATCTTATTGAAATGAGAATGTGTCTAATTTCACTAAAAATAATGATTAAGTTCTAAGAATCAAAATCTTCATTAAAGAAAAGTACCCCAATCTGTCATCCCATGATCAGAAGTAAATATAAAAGAAGTCTTATTATCATGGCCAAAATATTCACTGAGGAGATCCACACATTCCTTTAAGCCTTTGTCCACTGTACGAATGTTTTCAAGGTATTCCCTAAAAATAAGGTAAACATTGAATTCTTTTCTACCAGCTAAAATTGTAATAAATGTTTTAGTGATCTTATAATACTTTTCACATTAATGTCTGCCACAAGACAAGCATATTTTCAATATTTTAAACATAAAGGCCAAAAAAGAATAAAGTTTTAAAAATATAACATCTAATTTTGTAGCTGTGTAAATAGTGACGATTACTGTACAAAAGAAAAAGTATTTTATGAAAAGCCTACACAGTAATATCAAAGATTTTTTTCATTATTTATTCAATAATTCTTTTAGTTTAAAATTAAACTCACAGGTCTTTTTAATTAACATTCTGTGCACAGCATCAGTACACTGGACCAACAATGTATTAGTGAAAATATAGAGTAACATTTACTGTATTTCTGAATTTACTAATTGTATTTTCACAAAATTTGGCAAGCTTTTAGAAAACATTACAAATCTGTTGTACATAAAAAATAAAATTTTCAATGAAGTAATTCTATTAAAGATTTGTCTGTAAATTTTGGAAGCTTTGCAGAGCCATTCTGAGTACAAGGTGAAATTCACATTATGAATACAAAATTTGGCAAGCTTTTAGAAAACATTACAAATCTGTTGTACATAAAAAATCAAATTTTCAATGAAGTAATTCTACTAAAGCTTTGTCTGTGAATTTTGGAAGCTTTGCAGAGCCAATCTGAGTACAAGGTGAAATTCACATTAAGAATACAATTGTTTTTTTATTTTACAATTTCACATTTTATTTGCATAACCTCTAGAACTTCCTAAATGAATATCGAAAGATTGTTTTGGTAAATATTTGTACTTTACCTTTTATTCCTCTACCTTGACACTAATTGCAGCAAAATCATCAATGAACTATGAAATGAAAATTTTAAAAATTTGACATAAAATGAGCCATAGCTAATTTTCTTCTCCTTTCAATGTTTATTTTACCCAATTGCTGGTTTTCATATCTTCACAGTTTCAACTGTTAACCTGTCTCCACATTTCTTTCATTTTATTGTTCTATTGCACCCACTGATGTAGTAATTTTTCTACCCAAGGCAATAAATCAAACTGGCAGGTCATTAGTTAGGTATTGTAAACATCATGAGCAAAGCACTTGACTAAAATGATCTTTGAAAGTGAAAACCATACAGTGTTATAATTTACTTTTTTTCAATAAATAGTTCTTCAAAAGAAAAAAGGTCATGTACTTTTCAAATATGCATTTTACAATTAAAATATTATCATGAACTGGAACAGAATATCATTCAATACTAAGATTTAATTGTCTTTCTAACTAAACTATAAATAGGTTAAGAAATTATTCTATTTGCTCAAAGCTCAAGAGCAACCATTATACATAAACTATCAGAAGGAAACAGTCCACATTTGCTTGCCAGAAATTTCCTTAATGAGACCCTTGTAAATTAGAAAAAGCTCTTTCTGTTGTTTATCAACGTGTATCAAACAAGGACACATGGTTTCACATATTCCTTCAAATCTATGATAGCAGATCAAGAACACAGGTGATTCTAATTTTATATTCTGCCTTATAATTATCTACAGTTGATGGTTCTTAAAGATAGGGTAAAAATATTTTTTCTGAATTTATTCAATACACACACTTTTATGTAACAATGTCACAAGAAATAAAATATGTAAATATTTGAAAACTTTAATGACAAATACAAGAACATTTCACAATGAATAATTTACATCTGCTTATTTTTTATTATAAATAAAAGATAATAAAATGTACCAGATCTTAAATTAATATGTTCACGATACCCTATAATGAACTGTTACCTGAGTAGAGCTGAATCAGCTGAGTATACAGGTCTAAAAACAGTGACAGTTGCTATTAGTTATGCACTTATAAACTTTACATGATGTTCAGCAAAACTAATTCAATCAGAAGAGGCATTTTCTTTGGAAACACAATAATCCATTTTTGATAAATAGCAAACAGAACAATGACATATTATTGTGTATTATGAGAACGTTGTATATACTTTTAAGTAATAGACATAAATTATCTCAAAATATATTATTAACCAAGTTGAAACTCCTTCCAAGTCCTAGTAACATTTTCTCTCAGTTTAATGTTTTTGTATTACTATTTACTCTCTTTCACAAAAATATAATTCTAAACTTGAAAAAATGCAACTGTTTCTAAGTAATTTGATGATGCTCATTCTAAAAAATCCTATTGAAAATTACTTACCACCTCTAGTTTTTGAGTTATGATAGATTTATTCATAATATTCTTACATATGCTGCTTTGATAGAGACAAGTCACAAATCAGATCATTTAGCTCTTCTTGTTTGTGTTCAGATGAGGCAGGTTATGTTGAGGTACTACAGGAGTAGAATTACTAGATGAAGAGGATGAAAATGATTCATTGTCTTCTTTCCAGGATAACTCTTCTGTTTCCCAATTCGATAGTGGATGTGGCTCTGGAAGACCATCCCCATGAGGTACTGGTTTCATTGCAGATGCAACATCTGGATATTTAATGTATTATTTAGTTTTCCCTGGATATCCAGAAAGATTAGTCATTCAAAAATAACAGTCAGTTAGATGATCTTTGAACTCACGCCATATCATGGGATCTGCAAATGGCATACTTGCTTCCTTTTCATTCAACCACTGTGTCAAGCCAGATGTGCAAACTGTACAACACACATGTGGAGCCCAATTGTTTTCTTGGTCACCACTTTTACACCAAAAATATTGGTAGTAAGCTACCTTTACCTTATGTGTGATATTTTTCCTTCATAAAACTGTAACATATTTTACACAAATTTAGCAGAAACTGTTTGGACAATTTTTGCACTTTGACTTTACTTGAATTGGAGGCAGCCAGCATTTTAAATTATTTTCTAAAAAATATAAAAGAATTTATGTTTACAGAACTAGAGTTTAAAAGATTTTAAAAACCAAGGTTTGCAGAATTTGATTACAACATGGGTATAATGTAAGGAAGAA